GTTACATTGGTGCCGAAACCCGGGAGGAAGGAGGGACACGCTGCCAGAGATCCCTCGCCACTGTGGTGAATCCGCGGTGCCATCGAGCATGGCGGAGCAGTCTGCCGCCATGGACGCTCGAGGCGGTGGGCTGGAGTGAGTTGCCGGGGGGACGGACGAACTCGCTGCTGGCTGCCTGGGGTGTGGAGGGATGGCTGCCGTCCGTGAGGGAGCGGAGGAGTCGCCGCTATTCGCCTGAGGCAGGGAAAGGGGGACTCCTGCCGACTGCCCGAACCCAGAGGAGCCATCGTCGCCCACCGGGAGTGTCGGGCCGTCCATCGAGGGCTATCCAGTGCCGCCGCCAGGCATTGAGGAAGAGTTTACTCAGCTGGTGGAGGGCCGAGCGGCAGTTTGTCTGGGAACCAGAACAAGATTTGTATTTATTTTTTTCCTCTCTCCCCTCTCTCATCTCTGTCTCTCCTCATCCTTCCGTCTCCTTTGCTCTCGCCTCGTCTGTCTGTCCTTACCCTCAGGTATGGCACGGCCGCCGTGATCGGGGGCGGGGAATAGAGCGCAGTCTCGTGGGTACTTTACTTTCATTTTGTGTTTGTTTATTTTATTAAAATGTTTAAATGTTCGCCGGTTCCCGCCTCCTTCTTCCCGAACTACGAACTTTGTTACAGGCTATATTTGGCAGAATCACTGATAGTACCTCAAACTTTGAATCATTTAAGGCTTCTCACACTTGAAATAATTAACACTGGGGTAATTCTAAACCCTCAGTAAATGGGATCCTGGGTAATCTTAATTTATGTTTCACACTGCTCATATTTTACCTGGAGTTAATGATTAATCCTGGTTATTCATAATCTGACGTGTCACACTGTACATTCCTAAACACTGGGTTACTATTATTATTTGCATATTTCAACAGTCGACTGGATAAAAACACAAAAATCACATTTGGTTTTTGACCATTAAAAATGGGTAGGATTCAACAATTTGGACATGGAGCTGCATTGAGATACCCAGTATCCCTGGGATTGAACCACTTAGGGCCTTGAAAAACTTAAAAAGGGCCTTTTTTTCCCATTGTTGAATGCTCACCATTGGCATGTAATGCAGTATTTTAGCATATATTTTATCATTGTATTGTTGTGAAATAAAAAAAAAAAGATAAAGAAGTAAAATAAAGAAGTATAATTCTCCTCTTAAATGTCCTTTCAACTATGAAAGAGAAACTTCTAAGCATTAAATGTTTGCTAATAAACTAAAATTATTCTTTTTTTCTTTTTTTCTTTGCTGTTGCAGTTGCCTTTTGTCTAAAAATATCAGCTCTTATTTTAATGTCTTCAGTTTGTATGCTACTTATCAGAAAATGATTTAGGTAACACTTTATAATAACTTTCATTAAAAATCATTAACAAACATTATATATGCTTAACAGATCATTAGTTATCATATATTCACATAGCTAGAAATATGAGATAATATGCTTGTTCATGTTTACTATTGCACTTATTAAACATTACCTAATGATTAACAGATCATTATATCATGGAAACTGAAATGTTTACAAATGTCATTAAACTGCAGTTCATATATTACCTAATGCTCTTTTTTAAATTTACAAATGTTTCGAAAAAATTGCTTAATTAGTAATTTTAAGCACTTCACAAACTATTCTTGTTTTAGTTTGTTTAATTTTGTTTTTTGTGTAGACTTCTACTATTTGCACATCTTAACAAATCATTTATTAGTTATTTGTTTATGCTTGTTTGCAGTACCCAATCTAAAGTGGAAACTATTCCTCATTTGTAAATGTTTACAAACATTTACTAATCGTTAGTACCTATAAGCAGTCATCAATATCGTCAATTGTCCCAAATGACCTGAATTCACCCTATTTACTCATCTTTACAAATAATTTGTTAATCATTTTTTTCATGTTTTTGCAGTACCCAATCTAAAGTTGAGACTGCTGTAACAATGTTTGTGTAAAAGGTGGTTAGTTATGTTTAGCTAAATGCTTGCTAAAGACATAAAACACATTGTAATTTGGGTGCAAAACATGTTTTTATTGCCTCAGCACTTATATTAGTATATTACTGGATATACAGGATATCCCTTGAATCATACATCAACAGGAGAAAACAGATCAATTTTTCAAGAAAATACTTGTTTACTTATCAAAATAATGTAATATAAACAGATTGAACCATGTTCCTTTATAGTAATCAAATTGACCCCTGTGCACTGTTGACCCCTTTACATAATACATAACACCCTTAACCAATCCTTAAACCTACCCATACCACCAAACCTGGCCCTTACCCGTATCACACCTCAAGTGTTGCACCTTAACAAACGCTTTTAATCATTGTATAACATCTCTTAAAATCATTTGTAGATTTTCAAGATGTGCATGATCACATAAATTGAATGTTTAATGACATTTGTAAGCATTTTATTTTACATGAAATAATGATCTGTTAATCATTAGGTAGTGTTTAATGAGTTTTTTTTAGTAAACATTAACAAGCACAATATTTCACGCTTCTAGCTATTTGAATATATATTAACTAATGATCTGTTAAGCATAATATAATGTTTGTAATTGGTTTATAATCAATTATTTGTTTTGGCACTATAGCGTGGAGATAAACCGCTAAAAGATTATTTACCAATTGCTTTCTATCTGCAGTACAGTGATAAATAAAGATCAGGTGATCTCCACCATAAAACAAATCTCTGTTAACACTGGCCATGTAAGGTTTGCTCTATTAATCAGTATAACATTTACTGTTAATATAGCTGACATTTAGGTTTAGTGTCACAACCATTTATTTTGTATAAAAAGTAAATTAAACAGCGGACAGGACACAAATATGGAGACCATATTGGAGTAAATAATCTATACTGTATGTTCTAGGCCACTGCTGTCTACCTCCTGCACACTGGCATGGGCATTTTCTAATTTTAGAGGTTTTTGGCTTATTTGGTCTACTGAATTATACATGGTCTGGGTTTTGGCTCAGTCACTGTTTGTTTCCTTATTTGTGTGCTACTGTCAATATTAACAATATCAGTTTAAATGTTTGATTATACTAAGCCAGTTTTATCAAATAAACATACCTCTTTTCCTTTTAGTCTCTGTGATGGAAGTGGAGTGTGTGCAGGAGGGTTGTAAGTCTGAGACGTTGAGAAACCTGGCCACCTCACTTCCAGAAGAGCAGTGTCTTACCATTGTGTTCAAGGGAGGACGGAAGAGCTTGGATCTCCAGTGTGACACAAAAGAGGAAGCCAAGCACTGGGTCCGTGGCATTCAAACCCTGCAAGGCAGAGTCAATAACATGACCCAGAAAGAGAAACTTGACAAATATCCTTTAGCAGATAATCAGATTCAGTTTTACACTACAGTCCCAGTTTATCAATCTGTAAAATGACAAGTGAGAAGTCCTTACTGTTATTTTGTAGGGATTTAGTTACTCTTCTCTTTTGCATCAGGCTAATAGTTGTTGTTTTTTTCTAGTATTTCTTTCCTTCAGTAGGGAACAAATGTTGATATATTTATCAGTCAGCGTTGTGCAGAGATTAATTGAGAATTGTTTTTAAATTCCTGAATTTGACAGAATTGCAGTTTAAATGTAAGAAGGTAGAATTAAAATAAATATTTTATTGCAATTTGTTGGATATGAAAGTTGGGTAGTTGGGTACGAAATGGATGAAAACAAGGCTGGGAAGGTGAGGGTCTGATCACGGTTATTAGGCCGATTATGTATGTACTTGGGTGTAGATTATTCAGCATATGCAACACTGAAAAGAAAAAAGACCTCTGGAAAACTTGTCAAGTTAAATGAAATTTGAGTTTTAAAAATGTATCCCCGACCCTATGTTAATTTCTATTTTACTCCACTGCATCTCTCATTTATTTAAACGCAAAAACACGTTTTGTGCAAATAGTCACAGAACAATCTATTGAATAGACTGTATATATGCCCCTCACAGCCTCGTTTTCATATATGATAAACAAAATATAGCCACAACCCTAACTAATGAACATCACAACACATTTAAACTAGGGCTGTTTTTTTTATCTGTTTATACCCTTGACTGCTCTCACTTGGATCTATGGCTACCTGAAACAAGCTGACATGAACCATGATGGCAAGATGTCATATGAGGAGGTCCAGACCCTTTTCAAGATGATCAACATAGACCTGAGTGAAGAAAATGCTGTCAGCCTCTTCAAGGTCAGCTTTTATTTCCTGGCAGTACTTGACCTATTTTGGGATGTTTTGAATAAAATCTCTTTAATCACAGAACAAATCTGCCTATGATGCTGAAAAAACAACAGACAATAATGAACACTAAAGACAAAATGGATTTTAAGAATATGAAATAACAATACTGTATACATGCACATTTTTGTACTTTAAATGCAGAAATTAGAAGAAATTAATTTGCTTTATATATGTCTTTGCATATCAGAAGTGTGATAAATCAGCAGACGGACGACTTGAACATGAGGAGATTGAGCTTTTTTGTCGTGAGCTACTACGTCGGCCTGAGCTAGATGCAGTGTTTCAGCAGTACTCTGCTAATGGTTACGTCCTGTCCACTGTGGATTTGCGTGAATTCCTGAAAGACCAGGGCGAAGACCACACGCTTGTACATGCTGAGAGCCTCGTCCTTACCTATGAGCTCAATGAATGGGGTATTCACACTTTGCTTACTATGATTTTAACACACACACCTTGGTAGAAACCCTCTAAATTTTCAGTGATAAAAACACAGAATAAATTTGAATGACCTCTTATTTTACAGTAATAATCAGTACTATTTTATTGTAGGGGCTTTCAAACCTGTCCTGGAGCACCCCTAGCACTACACATTTTGTATGTCTCCCTTATTGGACACACCCAAGTCTTGCAGTCTCTACTAATGAGCTGATGAGTTGAATCAGGTGTGTTAGATGAGGGAAGACATACAAAATGTGCAGTGCTGGGGATGCTCCAAGACAGGTTTAAAAACGTCTCAGGTTACGTATGTAACCATGGTTCCCTGAGAAGGGAACGAGACACTGCGTCCTCTAGGGGTCGCTATGGAGAACGCTTTCGGCACGACTGGTGTCTGAAGCATACATCTAAACACGACAATGATATTGGCCGGCAACAACCTATGACATCACTACCGGCACGACCACAGTATAAAAGAGTGACGGTAGAACACGTCATCCGCTTCTTCGTCTGAAGCTTACGTCCGAAGCATGGCGAGGAGACTAGAGGACGCAGTGTCTTGTTCCCTTCCGAGGGAACTTCGAACTGCATCCTCTAGGGCTCGCTATGGGGATCGGTATACCCACGCTGCCATGCTGAGGGGAGTGCATGCCGATTCTTTTTGTTTTCTTTTTATTTATTATACAATTAACAAAAGCAAAAAAGGCATCTAACACTAGTTTGCTCTATTCTTTTACTATTCTATCTGTTT